ACAAAAAAAAAAAAAAAAAAAAAAAACAATAACAATACGTAAAAAGGTGCATACACAATGGACTTTGATCTTTCTTTGCTTTTAAAGGAGATTCAGTTACAACATGGTTTGCGCGCTGAGGACTACGCACGTTACCACCGCTACACAACTAACCGTCTCTCAACACTGCGGCACCAACTTGGTCTTGTGCAAGACCCAAAGAAATTCCACCAACGTGAGATAACACCGGTGATCGCAACGCGGCCTGAATATTTGCAATTGCTCGTACTCTGTGCAGAGCGATGTTGGGCCTCAGCGGAGGATTTGCAAGAGAAACTTCGTACCGCAGAACGTGGCGGCGAGAAACCTCCGGGTGGACTTCCACCCAGCGATCAGTTTCGAAAACGTCTGAATAAATCCGTTAAATGGGCTACACAGTTGCACGCTGTAGCAAAAGTTGTTGCAAGTGAACGTTTACAAAAGGAAACGGAGGCATATATGTTGGAAGTTAAGGGACGAGCTGCTGTTTCACATTCTTTAATGAGTGAAGCAAAGGAGTTTTTTCTTGCAGCACGTGAGAAATACTACGCTCTTCGAAATTGTAGTAATCCTGAACAATGGGCGCTTCTTCTTGCAAAGGTGAATGAACTTGATGATCGTGTGGTATATTGTATGCTGCGTCTAGGTGAAGATGCTACTAGTTATAAACCTCATATCGATGTTAAAGACCCAGCACAACAATTGGCTACTACTACTATTGAATGGAATGGACGACAGTTAAATGTTGCATCTATTAAAGTAAAGGACGCTTTACGTGAAGCTCGAGCATTAAATGTTGATGGAGCCAAGATGAGAGCGATGGAATTAAGTGGTCCTATTCCTCTTGGACAGCAAAATAAAGTATTGGATCTAATGGATAGACGTATTGGATGTCTTAATGATGCTCTTTCTCATGCTAGACAAGACTTACGTACCTTGGTTGATGATAGACAAAAGACAGAGTTACAACTTCTTGTTCATTATTTACTTTTTCAAGTTTCATATGAAACATTACAACGAACTTTATTTATGGTTGAAGTATATGTACGTCGTTTTCGTGCTACAGAAAGATCCCTTAGTAACAGTAGTAGTAATAGTGGAAACCGTAGTAAAAAAGAAATTCCTCCATCACAATATGCTTCACCACTTGAAATTGTTCGTTTGTATGATGCCGCATTAGAAACTTTAGGAGAAATGGAAATTTTACCAGGTGTTTCTGGTCGTGTAGATGTGGAAGAATTACTTGCCTTGTGTCGTGCAGGGAAATTACTCTATCTTGGTGAAGGATGGCGCATTTCAAAGGAATCCGTTAAAGCACAAAACTGTTACAAAGCCTCTCTTGCTATTCTGGAGGATGCTCCATCTGCTCCACAAGTGGAAGCGCTTCGTCTCATTGTGGAGAAATCTTCTCTGCAATTGGCATCAGAAATGTTACTGACTACTCTTCCATATGGGACAACTACTGGTAAGGAAGTGAGGAGTCAACAAAAGGGTAATCATAATGATGATAAAAAGGATCAAAAGGAAAAGGAATTACATGGTCAATCATTAGAGTATCTTGTGGATGCTGGTGATGAGGTTACTATGGCACAGAACATCATTAAATTCCCACCGGAATATCAAGCGGTTCCCTGTAAACCAGTTTTTGTTGACATTGCCTCAACCTATATCGACTATCCAATGATGTCCACCGCTTCTCAGGAAGACCAAAAACAAGGAGGAACTCCAGAGAGTGGGAAGGAGGAAAAGGGATGGAAGTGGGGTTGGGGTTGGCGCAAGTAAGCTCTTATCTGAAGTAAAAGAGAAGGAGCGATTGTACCAAAAAAAGAAAGAAAAAAAAAAAACGAAATATAAGCATGCCGTTATTCTTGCTTCGGTGTAAGTTGGAGGTGCTGGAGACGTCCTGGGCCTAAGAAGAATTAAAAAAAAAAAAAAGGAATAAGAAACGAAAGAAACAAAAAAAAAAAGACAAGAATGTTTGTAGTGCTGATATTGTAATATTGATTGGGGTGGGATACATGGTTATTATGCATCCCTTGCGTACAAAGAAGCACAATCATACATACATAAAAAGAGAGAGATAGAGAGGTGGAAGAGAGTAATAGATAAGTGTATATATGTAAATTGTGTTCATTTTTCTTCTTGCTTACTTTATTATATTGAATTTGTTTCATTATTTCTTTTTTTTTATTATCTTTCTTCTCTCTTTAACAATGGTATTATCTTATTGGACTGAACCAAGTGAAAAAGTACTACAAAGACGAGGTTGATAAACATTCACTTCGTACTACGATAGAAGAAGAAGAAAAAAAAAAAAGACTCAAAAGGATACAAGATTTTAGAGCAAAAGAAAAAGAAAAAGTTTCAAAAAGTATAAACTTTTAAGAAAGAATACAAAGAGAAAATACCATCAAACAATACGGATGAATGGCGAAGAAGATACAGTAATGGGTTGTGTTGATGGTAGCGAGATGGTAGATGAGACCCCAAGAGATTGCACAGGTGCCAGTTTAGAGGATACTGCTGATTGGGTGTACACACCACCACCAGACAATCAACGAGAATTTGAGTTTCCAGAAGATGGCCTTAGTTTCTCTTCTCGATTTGACAGTGGTAACTTAATTCAAGTTGAACGTATTGGTCCGTATCGGTATAATATGTATACCACCCCTGATTGCGGTAATACACCAAAACAAACAAATAATCGACAATGGTTTCACTTTGCTATTCGAGGAGGAAGTAAAGGAACTGTGATTACCTTTACCTTTGTGGGTATGATGCATTGTAAGATGTTTACATATGGATGGACACCTGTGGTGGCGGTGTGTCCGGGAAAACCGCAGTACACACGACTCCCCGGCCGCGCAACTGTGGTAGCGCTGGACGCCATGCCACCGACGCCTGGTTATCCCGGCTTTGTTCTTAAGCCGTGGGGAAAGAAATCAGCCAGCACAGAAACACCATCACCAACAGCAGCCACAACTATTACCACCACAACTACCACAACCACAACAACAACAACAGGAGAAGGAGGCAATGATGATGGGGATGCGAATGGTAGTTCAGAGGGAGTTCCTGATGTTATTGAACTAGCTGCAAGTGCTACTACTAAGAAGAAAAAGAAAGAAAATAGTGTTGCTATGAACATTACTTTCGAAGTGCGACTTGAGATTGATGCACCACTCACTTCATCTTTATATCCTTTGGGTCATCCGCAATGTCCAGCAACTTATGTTTGCAGTAATCATCCCTATTCCTATACCACACTACAGCAAAATATTAAACTTTGGAAAGCACAAACTTCATCTGGTACAAAAAATAGTGGTACTGAACAATCAGCAGAAAATGAAGTGGGAGAATCTACTTCAAATTCTATATACTTTAACCATGAAGTTCTTTGTAAATCTTTGGATGGTCGAAATGTTGATCTTATTACCATAACAGATAGATCTGGAATTTCTTCTGAAAAATGCCCTTTTTATGGAGATGAGGATATACCATATTCCTCTGCTATAGGAGAAACTGAACGTCCTTATCAATTTTTAGGAAAACCTTTTGTTGTTCTTTCTGCCCGTGTTCATCCTGGTGAAGCACCATCAAGTCATTTAATGCATGGTTGTATTGAATTTTTACTTAATCAAGTAGATCCACGAGCTATCGCTTTGCGATCACGTTTCGTTTTTCTTCTTGTACCAATGATTAATCCTGACGGTGTAGTTAGAGGGCACAGTCGCGCAGATACTGATGGAGTTAATCTTAATCGTATGTACAAAAATCCCTCTAAAAAGCGTCACCCAGCTCCTTACAGTATACGAAGTATGCTTCATTCAATTGCATCAGTAAAAGGTAGACTAAATCTTTTTATTGATATGCATGCACATGCAAATAAACGTGGAATGTTTTTTTATGGAAACTCTATGGATGCTCCTGAACTATTACAAGGTCTTTTATATGCCAAGTTAGTAGCATTGAATACACCTTATTTTGAGTTTCAATCTTCTAATTTTTCAGAAGCTAATATGTATGCTACTGGAAAAACAGGAGAAGGTCGTGATACATCTAGTCGTGTGACTTTGTATCAAGAAACTGGACTTGTTTACAGCTATACTATTGAAGCTTCTTATGTGGTGGGTAACAGTTTGAATTCCGTTACGGCAATATCAGCTCAATCGGTAGAAGAACCTGAAGTTTTTCAAGGTACCCCTTCTCCCAAATATACTCCAGCTATATTCGCTGATGTTGGAAAAGGATTATTGGTAGCCTTACTTGACCTAAAAGGATGTAACCCATTAAGTCGTTTACCTTCCATGCAGTATCATAATGCTAAAGGGGTTTTGTTAGCATTACAACGTCAACTTCAAACGGAGGCGTCTGAACGATTATTTAAAATAGCCTTCGCTAATAGTGGTCAAGCAGCTTTCTCACGAGATTCTTCTGTAGATCCATTAGTTTCCGTTATGTCTACATTAAAACCTGAAGATTTCCAAGGTCCTATGACTATCAAAGATGGACGTGGACTCCCTGCCATTACAATTCGCGGATTTCCGGAATTCTTGTCACTTGAGCAGGCAGTTCAGATTCTCGCCCACACACCGCCGTTGTGTCCACCACGAACACTCATCTGCAACACTGGACGACGTTCTTTGGCCCAAACAGTAGCGGCCGCAGCGGCTGCAGGTGGTGGTGGTGGTGGAGGAACTTCTGGCCGTCGTTGTGTGAGTAATACAGGAAATGGTAGCACCTCGACCGCTGCAGCTCTTCGAACACCTTCTGCTAATGGGCGGAAGTCTCTTGCTGGTGTGAATTGATGAACCATTAATATGGAAACAAGTGGAGTTAATATTTGTAGAAAAATGGAATAGAATAAATTGAAAATCAATCACCGTTCGTTTGACTTTGTAGTCAATGAATGAACGAAAGGAAGGAAAAAAAAAAAAAAAAGATTTAATCTAAGTCAATAAAAAAAGCGATTCCATAGTGACGAATGGAATAAAAATAAGCTTGGCAGAAATAGTGAGAGAGAATGAGAGAAAGCGAGAAAGAGAAAAAGTGCATATGTCCTTGCAGCCATATATATGTATGGTAACAAAGAAAAGTGGTGAATTGTTGTATGTTTTTTTTGATTTCTTTCATTCTTTGTACTTTTCTCTGTATCTTTTTCTTTTCTCGATTCGTTCCTCTAATAACACTGTCTCTGTTGAAGCTTCCATGATTTGATGTACAGGGGTATGGAAGTACCTCCAAATGTTGGGGGAATCACTAATTCCCACGTACATATTTATTATATTGCATGCCTCTTGGGTAGAGATGTGTGTTTGTTTATGATAACGCCATATTGAAATTCAATGATGAACCTTGACTCTACCCTACATGCTGATTTTTTTTTTTTTCTCCTTTTACGTATGCACCCATCAATGGTTAAGATGCAGTTTGCATCACAGGTAGATGAACTAGATAGTTTGGGAGATGAGTGCTGGTACACCACTCTGTTTTTTCCTTAAAAGAAAAGAACATAAAAAGAGTTTGATCGTAATTACTTTTCATTCAACACTGAATGGGGAAACCCCATGAGAAAAGGAAGAAGGCGAGAAACTATATATATATATATATGCCAAAGAGAGGGAGAGAAAGAAAAAAAGAAAAAAAAAAAAAAAGATCCACTACACCTTAGAGGAGGCGTCGTGTATCCCGTGAAATTTAGCCTTCAGATGTTATACTCTTTTTATTGTTTTTGTTGTCGTTTTTTTTTTTTTTTTTTTTTTTGTTTTTTTTTGTTTTTTGTTTTCTTTTTCCTCTTACTCCACAACAACAGATCCAATTCCACATAAAAGAAAAAATAAAATGAACAATAGTTGATGTTATCTGTTTCTTTTTTTTTTTGAATTGTTTTTTTTTTTTTCTATATTTTCTTCTTTCTTTTACTGCTTTTAGTTAAGAAGTCCATCGTGGTAAATAAAAGGTTTTTACAGAAGAAAACAATGTCCAAGTTTGATAAAAGTGTGTGTGAGTGGATCGCCTCCTCCTCAATCAATCGTGCAAGCAAGCAGGAAATTCTCGAACGGGTTAAATCTACCATTGACGAGTACAAGAAGCTGGATGAGCGAAGCCATCACTACAGCAATACAGTCAACGACGACAATGAGAAAAATAAAAGCACCAACAACCGTAATTCCCGTAAAAGTGCTACACAGACACCTCCATTAGGGAAAAAATCAACTTTACGTTCTTCGAAAAAGAATGAAGAAGGAAAGATGGTGGATTACGGTTTTACAGAGGTGGTGGATGATGTTCTGCACAAGTTGGAGCGTGAGAGTATGCCTCCTCTACCTCCACGTCGTCCATCCACTAAAATGAATGAAAGCCAGAATGAAATCCACTCGGTGAATTCCGCACCACAAGGTAATGAGGAACCAAAAAATACTCAAGATATTATTTCAGAATCACAACAAGAGCATCATGAAGAAAATGTGAGCTGTCTTAGCGATGATCAACCGCACAGTGAAAAAAATAGATCGGTTTCAAGTGATTTGGAAGCTATGCAAAATAGATTTGCAACATTTAAATTTGGAAAGGCCGAAACAGAAAGTCAACCATCAGCTGTAGTGGAAACTAACCATTTTGAAGATGCTGCTGCTGCCCGTCGTAATAGTGAAGATGAAATTATCGCAGAAGGTGAAGATGCACGTTTACGACTTCTTCAACAGAAGCGTTCTTCTCGACCTGGTATTTCAGCTTTAAGTATTGATGCCGATGAAATTATGTCTACAGAATTTTTGGCTACACCAAAATCAAGTGAAGATATGGCTTTCATTAAAAAAGTATTGGAATCTCATTTCCTTTTTTCATTCTTGGATGATGCAGAGATCTCAATGTTAACTATGGTAATGGACACAACAGACATTCCAGAGGGTACCAAGATTATTAGCAGGGATGAAACTGGTGATACCTTTTATATTGTTCTAAGTGGAGAAGCAAAGATGACCATGTACGAAAAAGAGGAAGAAGAAGAAGAAGAAGAACGCACAAAAACTATAGATTTACAAAGAGGTGCAGTTTTTGGTGATCTTCAACTTTTGTATGAAGTTAAAAGTGAAGTAACTGTGGAGGCTATGACACCTATGGTTTGTGCCACCATAAAAAGAAAAACGTACAAAATTATTCTTTCTCGATCAGCCGAAGAAAAGCGTAAACGTTACGTTTCCTTCCTTGAAAAGGTACCCTTCCTTAAGGATTTAACCCCAGATGAGCGTTCAAAGATGGCAGAGGCCTTGAAGAATGATCACTTTACTCAGGGTGATAAAATTATCCGATATGGTGAAAAGGGTGATTGGCTGCATATTATTGTAGAAGGCACTGCGGATGTTATTGGAAGAAATGAAGCCGGTGAGGAAGAGTATGTTGCCACTTTCCATGAGGGTGATTGTGCGGGTGATTTGGAGTTCCTCTTTCATCACGAAACCGTGGCGGATATCGTTGTCAGCAGCCCAACTGTGAAAACCGCAAAGTTGAGTCGACGTCATTTTGAGAAACTCATCGGAACAGCGAAGGAGTTGCTGCAGCGAAAGGCAGAGGAGGACGCATCTTATCAGTACTACCGCCGCACGATGGGCAGCGCATCACCCCCACGGGAGGACCTCGCCCCACCATTTGATCAACCCCCAGAGTACGTGACAAAGAGCAAACTACACCTCGAATACTAAGGGAAAGAAGAAAGAAAAAAAGAAAATTAAACCCAGAAGGATATCTTTTTTTTTTTTTCTCTGAATGGTAATTTTTTTTTCGTTTGTTTCTTTGTTTCTTTGTTTTTTTTTTTTTTTTTTTTTTTTTTTTTTTTTTTCTTTATTTGTTGACCCCGCATTTTTTGTTTGGGTGAAACTCCTTTATAAAAAAGAAAAGAAAACATAAAAAAAAAAAAGAGAATCAAAAACAAAATATTGGTTTTTAAAAAAATAATAACAATAATAACAGTAAAAAAAGTAATATTATTATTATTATTATTATTATTATTATTATTATTACTATTATTATTGTGGGTAACTGAGGATCATTAGTACAGTGTGAATGCTCCAATCATGAGCAATAAACACCGAATAGAGCGAATCACGACGGCGATGTATCCCTAACTTAAAATATTATTTTTCTGTCTCTTTCTATGTGTACGCCTCGTGAGGAAAAAAAAAAAAAAAACCTGTGGAAATTACACAGGGCAGAATCTCGACATGAAAAAAAAAAGAAAAAGGAGAGTGACTTTAACTTCACCAAAGTGGATTTTTTTCTTGGTGACGTTTTTCTTTCCCTTGTTTTTTTCTTGTATTTGGCGAAGAGCCTCCTAATAAATTTATTTTTCGATATTGGGGAACCGTGTTAGGAAAGGTTGGAATATACCATTTCTATTTCTATCTACTCTTTCATCTTATTTTACATCTTTTTTTTTTCGCTTCTCTTTCCTTTTCTCTTTGTATGTACGTATATATTTAATTTTCTGCATCTATATCATATCGGTGTTGTTGAAGAAGATATTAACTAGGTTTTTTTTTGTGTCTGTGGGTGTGTGCATTGTGCTCAGTGTACTTGCATATTAACAAGAACAAAAAAAAAAAAGACGAAATAAACATTTCATGTCGTGCCATAAACGCATCACCGTACAATTCGCTGGTGGTTGCGAGTTGCTCTTCGATAAACAGACTGTGTTACGTCTAGATGATGTTGTCCCACACGAGACAACAATTAATGGATTGGTTCAACTTTTGAAGGAAAGATACGTGAAGGAAAGACCTGATCTCTTTGTTGATCATTCAGGAAAAACACTTCGTCCAGGCATTCTTACCCTTGTGAATTCCTGTGATGCAGAGGTTGTGGGTGGATTGGATTATGTACTGAATGAGGGAGACGTGGTTGAGTTCATTTCAACCTTACACGGTGGGTAAAGTGAACAAATTTTTTTTTTTTGTTTATTCGTTGGTATTTCATAATGAGTAATACCAACCCGGTAGTACCCTTTCTCTATCCTTTCCTTTCTTTGGACTGAGACCAAAAAAAAAAAGAAAAAAAAAACTCTTTTTTTTTATCTGGTGAAACATGAAAGGATGGAATTATTCTTCTATAATACCGCCGGAATATCCACTATGATTTCTTTTTTTTTTTTTTGTAAGTATATTACTTCTTCTTTGTTGTTCTTATTGTTGTTGTTGTTTTTGTTATCTATTATGATGTGCATCTCTTATTCCCTCTTCCTCTATTATATTATATATCTCTTACTTGTGAGTGCCAGTATAGACATTTGCCCAAGACTTCTCATGGCCCCCTTAATGACGATGGCCAATCTCAACATTGGACTCCTCGGGCACGTGGACAGCGGGAAGACGTCCCTCGCGCGGGCCCTTTCGACAATCGCCTCCACGGCAGCCTTCGACAAGAGCCCCGAGAGTCGTCGCCGCGGTATCACATTAGATCTCGGCTTTAGCGCCTGCGACGTCCCAACTGTCAATATCGCCCCAACACTACACGCTGCGGGTATTAACCATGTGCAATGCACCTTAGTGGATTGTCCTGGACACGCCTCCCTTATTCGCACTATACTTGGAGGGGCACAAATTATTGATATCATGATTCTTGTTATAGATGCTTGTAAAGGTATACAAACACAAACAGCGGAATGTTTGGTTATTGGTGAAATTCTTTGTAAGCCTTTAGTTGTAGTAATAAACAAAATTGATGCTGTACAGGGTGGAACTCAGGAAGAAAAGCAAATGGCGATTGTTAAATTAAAAAAACGACTTCAAAAGACATTTGAACGAACTCGCTGGCCAGTTGTCCCAATTGTGGAAGTTGCCGCTGCTCCACGTGGAGACACTAATTCAGAAAATGAGGTATCAAAACCAATAAATGTGATGAGTGTTCTTTCTGCTGTATTGTCTCTTGCTGATGCAGAGAAATTAAAGGAACAGTTAGAAACACCACTACGTTCAGAAGAATTTGTAATGATGTTTGATCATTGCTTTGCATTAAAAGGACAAGGTACTGTTTTTACTGGTACAGTTATTCGTGGACAAGTAGAAATAGGTGATAACATACTTGTATCTGAGTCTAATGTAGTAAGGAAAGTAAAAGGATTGCAAGTTTTTCATAAACCTGTACAATGCGCCAGACGTGGTGATCGTGTTGGATTATGTGTAGTACAATTTGATGCAGAAGGTATAGAGAGGGGTCTTTTGTGTAGTGCGCAATCATCACGGAAAATATCATCTATTACTGAATCACCTCTTTTCGAAAGTGCCTCTGTGATGATTGCGGAAGTGAATCGTGTGCGTTTTCATCAGATGCCATGTGATACGCACACAAAATTTCACATTACAATAGGACATTCTACAGTTATGGGGACTATGAAATATTTTAGTCGACCCACATTACAGAAAAAAGAAAATGGTGAAGATTGTATGTTTGATTTTACTCAGGAGAGTCTATATGTTGAAGAACTTGAAGAGAATTCATGTTTTGACTTTGACAATGCAGAGACTCAGGTACAACCTGGACTTCCTGTTTCTTTGAAACGTGGTGATCTTACTTACTATGCCATTATACTCCTGGAGAAACCAATTATGGCGATTGTTGGAACTCCATTAATTGCAGCACGACTTGATATGGAACGAGAAAACATGTGTCGTATTGCAATTGCAGGAACTGTTCGGGCGATTATGCCTTCCGATACTTCTGGAGGATCATCTATTCCGTTGTGGCGAACGTTGCCAGTTGTCCGGTATAAAACTAGGGAATTAGTTGTGGAACGGGTAGTGAATGAGAGGACATGCATCGCTAGTGGTGTTGTGTTGAGTAATACTTCAGATGGGAATAACGGTGAAGGAAGAAGAGGAGGAGGAGGAGGAGGAGGAGGAGGTATCAACAGTAGCAGCAACAACAATAACAACAATAACAAGGTAAAAGAAAAAGACACATTACATGCTGAGGTTCAAAAGTTCATTGGTCTCCGAGTTCATTTTCGCTCGTCTTCAGTGGAACAAGGAGATGCAGATGGGGAAGTAAATTTGATAGAAGGTGTTATTGACTCTGCATTTGGAAAAACAGGAAAAGTGAAACTTCTTTTTAATGATCCTATCTTTGCTGTTGATAACGACGCAAAAATGCCAACAGCAGCAGCAACAAAAACTGTAGCGGGAGAGGCAGTAAGAAAAAAGCGAAATGAGGTGACGTTCTTGACGGATGGTGTGATAGAGCTCACAATAAAGAAGAACCCTCTCGCTATTTATAGCCAACTCCAGCAATAACAAAAAAAAAAAAAAAAAAAAAAAAAAAAAAAAACGAAATTGCATGGATTCTATTGCAAGGTTTGAGAGTTTATTTCCTTTGTTCACTCTCTTCCACCGTAAGTGTTTGTATTCTTATGCGGAAGAGAATAATACCCATTCCCCGGTAATATCTATTTTTTCTTTCTTTTCTTTTTCTCTTCTTTTCGTATTTTTTATTTTTATTTTTTTTCCTTCTATGATCACAGTCTCTTTCTTGTCGTGATGAAACGTCTTGAAGTTATCTCTAAAGCTCTTACTGGGCTTGGTCTCACTCCGGATGAGGTGGGGTGTCCTCGTGGGGTGAGTAGCTCGGCGTTATCAGATCTAATGGATTGTTTGACGTACGTTCTATTTCCTGAATATACTCACCCACCAAAAAGTTGTACCTCATCACATGCTTTTCACGCAGACAGAAACACAAATCTCGAACACACTATATCACACATGGCAGATATTATGACGGCTCAACTCCATTGTGCCTTCATTCTTCAAGGTCATACAAGACGTATTAGTGATGGTACACAACAAAGAAAAAATTCAGGAGGAGAAGGAGAAGAGCAGTCAAAGAATAATTCGGTTCCAATTGGAAATAACTCCTTAAGCCCCTCTGAAGGAGATAATTTCTCTCGTGGTGCTCAGAAAAAAGCGGATGAAATAACAGAGATATTCCTGACACAAAAGTTGCAACATCTTAGATGGTTATTGCGTACCGATGCGGAAGCAATATTTCAGAATGATGTTGCTGCTACTTCTCTATCAGAAGTGATATTATGTTATCCTGGTTTACGCTGCATGCGATATCAGCGAACAGCACATATATTATACCACTTGGGGGCTCCAAATAATTTTACACGTCTTCTTACAGAGATGGCGCATTCTACTACTGGTATTGATATTCATCCTGCCACATCTATTGGTCATCATTTTTTTATAGATCATGGTACTGGTATAGTCATTGGGGCAAGTGCAATTATAGGAAACTACGTGTCTATTTACCAAGGTGTTACTCTGGGCGCAAAGAGTTTTCCTGTAGATAAAAAGACTGGAGAAAGAATCCGTTTTCTTGCACGACACCCTATTATTGAGGACGGAGTAACTATTTACGCTAATGCAGTTGTACTTGGGAGGGTACGAATCGGAAAAGGAAGTACAATAGGTGGAAATTGTTGGGTTGTACAGGATCTCCCACCAGGCTCTGTTATCGCACAGAAGCCAAGTCTAAAACTCAGTCGAGTCGATATGATGTTTCACGAAAACGGATCTGGGATCTAGAAAAAAAATAAAATCGAATTAATTTGCCCAAATAGGATAGTACCTTGAGGGAAATAATTAAACTAATGTGTCTCTTTTTTTTTTCTGTTCTTACTGTTGTTGTTGTATGTTTATCTGTGCTTTTTTGTTTTTGTGGATGAAGGAAGGACATTTGTTTCTTTGCATCCCTTTGCTATTTTTAGTGTATATGTTCTTTTCATGAAAGGAATGAAAATATTTTTCTCGTGAACGTCTTCATTTCTTTTTATTCCCTTCTGGTGAAAAATATGATATTTGATACTACAAACGTATTCTTTTTTTTTTTTTATTTTTCTGGGCGATCGTTTCCTATCCATTTGTATTTTTTTTTTCTCTTTTTTTTGATATTCTCTCATTTCTATTTACAACTATGTTTTTCTAGTTTTGGAGGTGGTAGGGGAATCCTCCTGCACGGTGGTTTGGAAGGAAGGAAAAAAAAAGAGAAATCAATAGCCAAGCAAGAGAGAAATACATACATACATACATACAGACCCACGTACAGAGAGAAATACGGTGATGTTCCGCTTCTCCGCTCTCCTACTACGTGGTCAATATAAGACACGTTTGAAGAAGCGTATGGTGGGATTTATTCCCAAAGTAATTCCACGGAAAATAAAGAACAATATGGTGGCGCTTCGAAGCGAGGCGAACACAGGGCATATGGAAGGTTACTTAAAAACAGAGTCAGAGAGATTAGATGCAACGGGACGCAAATTGCAAAAAGTGCTATGGGATCCTATTCTACAGCGGTACTGTTTGTTCAAGGAAACAAAGATTCGCGGACCATTTATGACAAAGTCATCTATAGCAAGAAAAGTTGACTTCCCTATAGGGGGTTCTGCTACAGTTTCCAAAAAATAGCCTTGTCGTTCTACAGTACGTAGTTTGGGACAAGAGAGAAGGAATGCAAAGTGAGACTGAGAAAAAAAAAAGAAGACGAAGCAGGTGCTCTCAGTTGTTTGTTGTCTTTTTTTTTTTGTTTTTGTTTTCACAATGAATCGTAATTGCAAAAATATAAAAGAATTTTTTCTCCTTCTAGGTTATCGTTAACAAATATTTCCTCATTGAACTTGGTAGTGTAGTGGTACTATTCTTTTTCTTTTTTTAATTGCATATTTATAAGGTTGTATGTCCTGTGAATCAAGTCTTTAATTATGAAAAAGAAGGTAGCTGTAGTTGATGGAGAAGATGACTCAGACGAAAACGAAACACCAAAGACAACTACAAAAAACCGTTCAACGGCATTGGAAGAAGAACTTAAGATTAACCCTACGAAGCTGCATACAAAGGTGTCACAAAGACACATTCCATCTGAAAAAAAGTTAACTTGCATTGAAAACTCCACTTTTACGAATAATCAACACCAACCACGATTGGAGGCAGAAAAAGGAGAGGTCCAGTTAAATATGCGACTAAATGCTCTTTCTTTACTACTTGAAGAAAAACAAGAAAAATTTAAACCCGCTTTTTTTATGCGAGATTCACCACCAAATACTGCAACAACCCCACCAATAATCACTGTAGAAAAGTCACAAAACCCTGTTGTTTTCAAACCTTCCATTAAAACACACCAAAAAGACTCTGGTAATTGTGAAGAAGACAATATTGTCAAAGAAGATAGTCCATATGTAACATGTTCTTATTCAACCCAAGAGAAACAAATATATAATTTATGGCGAGAAAACATGAAAGAGATTCATACCAGATCACTACAAAAAACAGTAAAAATAGCTGACAAACTAAATGATGAACTCGCAGCCAAGATAAATCTCTTAAAAAATACTCAACACAGTATACATAATGTCCTCTCCATATCGAACTCTCTCATAGATGCTATCGATTGCTTTAATAATGTCGCCACAGAGTGTTATCCGGCTCTATGTCAGCACAAAACCACAACCTAATAGTTCAACGTTTAATCAATAGACGTATTTTGAAACAAAACAACCAACATTCTTTACTTTCGTGTATGTCTGTGTGCCTTGTACGTTTGTGTTGCGTGGTTGGAACCCTCACTGTCCTTAGTAAATATTTTCTTTTTTTTTGTGTTTTTTCCTCTTTTTTTTTGTTGTTTGTGCTCTCTGCACCTCCAGGAAAACCCAAGCGCGTTCACATGTCTCACTGCAAGTTTGAGCACCCCCGCCACGGCCATCTTGGTTTCCTGCCGCGCAAGCGCTCTCGCCAGATTCGCGGCCGTGCGCGTTCTTACCCCAAGGATGACCCCTCACAGAAGCCTCACCTCACCAGCTTCATGGTGTTCAAGGCCGGTATGACGCACATTGTGCGTGATGTTGACCGCCCTGGCTCCAAGGTGAACAAGAAGGAGGTTGTTGAGACAGTGACGATCCTGGAGGCCCCACCCATGGTGGTGGTCGGCATTGTCGGCTACCGCCAGACACCTGTGGGCCACAAGACCATTGGTACCGTGTGGGCGCACCACACCAGCGTGGAGTTCCGCCGCCGCTTCTACAAGAACTGGAAGCAGTCTGCTCAGCTGGCCTTCACGAAGCGCAAGCAGTTTGCCCGCACCAGCGAGGGTCGCCTTGCTGAGGCTCGCACACTGAAGGCCTTCGCCAAGAAGGCTGACACGATCCGTGTCATCGCCCACACACAGCTTCGCAAGCTCCGCAACAACCGCGTTGCTGTGAAGAAGGCACACATCAGCGAGATTCAGATCAACGGTGGTACCATTGCCCAGAAGATCGAGCTTGCCAAGTCCCTGCTGGAGAAGGAGGTCCGCATTGATTCTGTGTTCCAGCAGTCTGAGGCTTGCGACGTGTGCGCTGTGACGAAGGGTCACGGATTCACTGGTGTGGTGAAGCGCTGGGGTGTTGCCTGCCTGCCTCGCAAGACCCACCGTGGTCTCCGCAAGGTGGCGTGCATTGGTGCATGGCATCCTTCCCGTGTCATGTACACTGTTGCACGCGCTGGTCAGCACGGTTACCACCACCGCACACACCTCAACAAGAAGATCTACCAGATGGGTCGCGCCGTGTCGATGGAGCCAAACCAGGCCACAACCACATACGACCTCACAGCCAAGACGATCACCCCCATGGGTGGTTTTGTTGGCTATGGTACAGTGCGTAACGACTACGTCATGCTCAAGGGCTCCGTTGCGGGTCCTCGCCGCCGTGTCATCACGCTGCGCCGCCCCATGGCTCCGCAGACATCCCGCGCGCTGACGGAGAAGATTACACTGAAGTTCATTGACACAAGCTCCAAGATGGGTCACGGTCGCTTCCAGACAAAGAAGGAGAAGAAGCAGTGGTTCGGACCACTCAAGCAGGACCGCATCCGCCGCGAGGAGCGCCTCCGCAAGGAGCGTCTGGCTCGTGCCGCAGAGCGCAAGACCAAGGGAGTCACCACCGCTGCCCCCAAGAAGAACAAGAAGTAAGATCCACACTCCGTGTCTGAGATTCTTGATTAACAAGAAGAATGTGTGCTGGGTATTCCACCTACATTTCATTTCATTTTATTTACATTTTACATCAAAGAAACGTGACGCAGGCACGTTCATGCTGTTGTAAGAGTACCATCTTTGCTTTCGTGTATGTCTGTGTGTCTTGTACGTTTGTGTCTTTACTTTTCTTTTTTTTTTGTGTTTTTTCCTCTTTTTTTTTAGCAATGGAAAAAGATAAGGTTTGTTCTGATGCTGGAAAAGCTGCAGATGACGAGTTTGATCTTACGTTTGGGTTTTCTGCTGGAGGATGGTTTCAAATGTACCACTATGGTGCGGCACAAGCTTTGGTTGATAGTGGTTTGTTAGAACGGATGTCGAATGATGGTAAACGTGTTCGTTTTTGTGGAGCTAGTGCTGGTGCTTTGGTATCTGTTTGCTTGGCCTCAAAGAGTTATCGGTTTAAGGAAATTCGTGAGAGAGCTGCTAAATGTGCGGAGCACTATCGCTCTTCTTGGCTTAATTTGTTTTGTATGAAAAAATATATTGTGGAGGCACTGGATGACTTTGGTTCCCATTTGAAGAACTTGGAGATGAAGCCGAATATAGAAGAACTTCTTAATAATGGATCTCTTGAAATTTTTGTTACGACATTACCTAATATGAAGAGAAAAATTATTCGTAATTTTTACAGTTATGACGATATTGCAGAAGCTTTGTTGGCGTCATGTTGCATGTCACCTCTTGTAGGTGTTCCTTTTCGTTTGCGTGCTACGGGTGAATGGGTTTGCGATGGAGCATTGGCTACAGTAACCCCTCGTAAGGGAGAATCGCGTACAATTACAGTTAGCCCTTTCTATTTTAGTGCGTCTACTATTCATCCATCTACTTTTGTTCCGGTCTGGTGGGGTTTATGCCCCCCAGATGATGTGGCACACCGCAACCTTTTTGCTCTTGGATACAACGACATGATTGAAGGATTGGTTGCAAATTCATATATTGCAGCAGAAGAAGGTGAACCATTGTTAATTCCAGAAGTTTGCTTTGAATTTGAAAGGAATCTCTTTCTTCGTTTTTTTGGTTTCGTTTGTGATATACTGGTTTTGATTTTTCTTCGTCCGATTGTTGTTTCTTGCATTTACATTGAGCTCGCAGTTATGTCCTTTATCTACTTCATGAAGGGAGTGTTTAAATTGGATTACAAACCGTTTAAGAAGCTTTACAATAATGTAAGGAACATTGTTTCACTTCGCACCCTTGGAAGGTTTGTGTTTGGTGATAATGTGCCTCATAATAGACAGAGACTTGAAAAGAGTTCTAGACTCTACCGTGTTTTTGAACCTATTGTCCTCGGAAAAAAGAAAAAAACAACGAAGAGGAGTGTTATAAGTCCAAATGATGTGGAAATAAAGATGTATTCAACGTCATCAGAGTATACACAGTAGAAAAAAAAAAAAAGACTGCAGTTTGCAAGGATATCCAGTAGAAGACTTGAGTATACTTTTCTTTTTTTTTTTCCTTATTGCTTCCGTGTGGGATTTGGTTAGCCTTCGATAAATTCGTTACTAGCACTTTTTGAATGTTTTTGTTTTTCACTTGAGTCCTTTACTATAATATTTCGCGGAGCACTTTATTTGTAGACGTTGCCAGAAGTGGCTATTTCGTATGTGTAAGATTTTCTTCGACTTTTTGAGCGTGCCTTTCTCTGTTTTTTCTTTTTACATTTTTTTTTTTTTTTCTTGCAGAAACGAAGAAAAAGGAAATACATAAAAAGTAACTTCACGTGAGTTTGCAAAATGTTTGATGGTATCTTCACTGCATCAAGAATTGATAATTTATTTCAAAGTTTATTCTTTTTTTTTTTCAGTTCGGATTCATTGATGGGTACATCTATTCCTTATAGGCTTCGACAGTTTTTCTTTCATTATTTTTGTGTTTTTTTTATTTTTTTTATTTTTTATTTTCATTTGTTGATGATACCTCTTTTGTTTTTCTCTATTAACGCCTTTACCTCCCTTTTTTTTTTTCCTCTACAAGTGTTTTTTTTTTTTTTTTTTCTCTTTTCCGCAGCAACCGCATGTTTCGCTGCTCCCGCTTTGTGTTGCAGCAGAAGTTTGAGAGCCACACGGCCTCTCTGGAGGACAAAAGCTTCAAAGCAAAAGCAAAAGCTGAGGTGAAGAAACTACTGAAAATTCAACTTGTATTGGTACCTATTGTTGTGGTATTTGTCATGTTCGCTTTCCCGCACCCATCAGTGGAAGAAGAGAAGCGTCTCCGTGCGGAGTATGAGAAAAACGCTGGATGGAAAACATAAGAAAGGAGGTAGGTTTGTTATATCTTATTCGGAGTGTATATGTATTTGTGTCTTTGTGTGTGTGTGTGTGTATTTGTATGGGCCAGTGGATTCCGACCAAAAAAATAAAAATAAAAAGTGGGTGTATCAATGTGTGTTAAGGGGAAAGATGAGATGCACAAGTATTATCTCATGCTTGTACACACCTGTAAACACATATACATATGTTATCTTATTATTTATTTCTTTTCCAGGTTTTGAAGTTGAAGGGTTGTATTTCTACTTGAACGCAGTAGAGTATATTTTTTCTATACGATCTCTTGTATGTGTTCTGGCTTTTTTTTTTTCTTTTTCTTATTCTTCTAATCTATTTCTACGTTATCAAAAAAATATGATGTTTTCAGCGTAGACATGTTGCGTGTGACCACGCGATGTTCATTCATCACTAAGATTAGCAAGATATCAAGACCGCCTGCCAGCGGTTATGAAATTGCAGAGCTTCCAGATGAAAAGGTCCTAATGGATTTTATTAAATTTCACAAAACACGTGCTGTGTTAGCGATACTTCACTCAGGCAACCTCCGAAAAATGAGAAAGGGTGAACAAAATATGCAAATCACAGAAGATCCACTTACAAGAAGTTTCATTTCATCTGTTAACGCAATGAATATGGGCAATCCTAGTGAGGTAAAGTTAGCACTTGTACCTGGTCCGCAGGCCCCAAAATTAGTGAATGAATACAGTGTTCTAACGTACCCAACGGTGCTTCTTTTCATGAATGGAAAGTGTGTGGAACGGGTTGTAGGTGCTCGGACGCGGGAGGTTTCCATTAAATCACTGTTTACACTGCGCAATGAGAAGCGAAACATTTTTTCACGGGAATAATGAAGATTATTCGCAGGTCTTGTTCAAGTGTATTTCATAAAGCGAAAATGAAATGGAGGAAAGGAAAAAAAAAAAACACCTGCAGTTTTGAGGAATATTATATTTTTAAATTTCTGATTTCTCTCGAGTTATTGTTGTTATTTGTATAATTGTAGATATGTGTGTATGTTTGATATTTTCTTATTTATCATGCTTGATTGATTGTTTTCTCTTTTTCTTTTTCTCCCTCTGGATTCAATTGAACCTCTTGTTTAATCTGGTGAAATTAGAGTCTTTGACACTGTGACCAACAGAAACCATAGTCATTCGATGAATTCCGCGGGCTCACTTAGCGATGATGAGATGGAGTGGGGTTCATCCGCTGCCTTATGCCCGTTTTGTTGTGCCTCAGCTTGCACAGGTGTGTGTCTGAGATCTCCAAAACATGAGATTCACCCGCAAGTGGATCCCCTGTGTAATAACAAAACAGCTGCTCCACCCCAACATTCTACCTCTGTTTCTACTGATAACCATGATGTTTCACCAGAGTTAACTCTCGCCATTATTGATGAATTACTTTCTAGTGGTAGGGCTGAAGAAGAATATGGTGATACTGATGGTAGTAGTAGTAATGGTGCTTTTTTACGTGCTTTACAAGGATCCCGAAATAGTTCAGGGGAAATAACAACAGAACTGAAAGAAGCAAAAGCGCAACTGGAGACGATTATGATGCATCATTTCCCTTCTGGTTTACCGTCTCAGGAAGAGATAGATGACTCTAATGAAAATTGTTCTCATTCAGATAGTAGTAATAATGATAATACTTCATTTGATGATCTTTTTAAATCTCGTTACTTCATCTCTAATGAGGAGGAGACGAATAATACTTCTAGTAAATATTTAGATATGGTACCCAAAGTTGTTCAATTGCTGCGCCAAAATCCAGCTCTAGCTATGATGCGTGCGAAAGTTAGTCAACATAAACGCCGCTATCAAGAGGATGGATTTGATCTTGACTTAACATACATTACACCACAGATAATCGCTATGGGATTCCCTGCGTGGGGTACAGAACAATGTTATAGAAATCCCATTGACCAAGTAGAACGTTTTCTTGAAAGCAAACATGGTGGTCACTATCGTATCTATAACCTCTGTTCTGAGCGACCAGAGTATGATTCTCCTAAACGTTTTAAAGGACGTTCTAAACGATTTCCATTTGATGATCATAATGCGCCATGTCCTATAAGTCTTATAATAGATTTTGTCAGTGATGCTACGGATTTTTTAGAGGAAGATAGACGAAATGTTGTAGTTGTACACTGTAAGGCTGGTAAAGGAAGAACAGGAGTAATGGTTTCATGTTTGTTGCTTTCACATGAACCACTACGTATTCCCAACGCAGAAGAGGCGTTGAAATTTTTTGGTAAAGCTCGAACTCAAGATGGTTTTGGAGTTACAATTCCTTCTCAATCTCGTTACGTACATTATTATGATCGTATTTTATATGATTTTGGTGGAAAACTTCCTCCTGTACGTCCATTAATTCTTTATCAAATTACAGTTGATTCCGATATTAAACCATCTGGACAGGTTGACGTGTATTTTACAGTAACAGAGAATGGAATTGAAAAGATTGATTCACGTCGTGTATTTCCTCGTCGACTCCAGAAGGATTCGAAGGGGATAATATTTTTATTTCCAGAGGAATTTGTTCTTCAAGGTGATCTACGTTTCACCTTTTATCAACGTAATCGACTAGTAGATGAGGAGATTTTTTATTTTTGGATTAATACATCGCTTTGTAGTACGTACGAAAAATTATCATTAAAAGATAGACAACTTGATGGACGACCTGCCAAAACAAAGGATGAAGAAGAATTTTGTAAGGATTTAGCAGTAAGTGTGATTTTTGTAGAAATTTCAAGTACTACCTGTAGCGTTGATGAGAATGTTCGTGATGAAAATGGCAATCTCATGCAGTTGAGAGAAGAAGAAGAAGAGTGGTAAGAACATGCGTGTCAAATATTTGATCCTAAATTAGGATTATAATCACTTTTACTGATGACCCCATTCTCCTCCTCTTCTTCCTCCTCCTCCTCCTCCTCCTCCTCTTGGAGTCCAAGAGAGATGACATATTTTGAGTATCGACTGCCTCACTCTAAAATAGTGGGATGTGAGTTTATAAATTAAAAGTTTGTATTTTTTTTTTCTTTTTTTTTTCCTTCTATATATTTTCTACTTCTTCAGGAAAGACATGGATGATACAAAGTAAAAGGAATGAAAGTTTTCTTTTCCTAGTATTGCGATATTTGTGGCAAATGTATCTTCTTGCTTTTGACGTGGTGTCATTTATTATTTATTATATATATTTTTTTCTTTTTTCTGCGTGTGTGTGTGTGTGTATATGATGGACTGTTAATGATATATGACTGATATGATGATTATGATAATAATAATAATGAATTGTGATGATTATTATGAACAGACCCCCCACGAACTGATCTACTAAACTTTTTCTTTTTCTTTTTCTTTTCTTTATGGTTTCTCCTCAGCAGTGTAGTGTTCGACGTGGCCGAATGCACAACGCGGTGCCGCTGCCGGGCATCACATTCGCCGGCACGTCGTACGGCCGCGGCGTGTCGGTCTTCGCGCCGCTCCCGCCGGGGGACGCCCGCCGCCGCCGCCACCGCGACGTGGAGGACTTCCGCCGGGCCCCCCGCCCCCCGCAGCGGCCGCGGTGGAACGCGTCAATTCTCGACGAGGCCCACCCGTTCCCGCAGCCGCCGCTCATGCACGTCCTGCAGCGCCGCGGCAGCAACGGCGGGGAGGCCGACAGCAGTGATAAGACCGGCCCGCAGCTCTTGACAGCACGTGGGGTGGACAGCACACGCAGAGCGGCGGGGAGTGTGGTGAGGGAAAGAGAACACGAGTTGGCGCTCGAGCGGGGATGGTGCATCTCAACAAATGTAAGCGATCCTTCAGCACGGTTCCGCAAGACTGCTGATTTTCAGGTGAGTTATTTGGAACTAAATAAGAGCAAAAAGGGTATGCTGGATGAAAGTACATATGTATCACCGATGCGTCGTGTAGCTCTCATGGATGAGTCTATTAGGGCTACTAAACGAAGTAAAAGAAAAGAGGATGAATTAATGTTACAATCGCAACTTGCCCGTCAAGGGGCGCCATCAGTTTTTAAGATGAGCAATATTGATGAGTGGTGGAGTTTAGATCCTATACTCAAAATGAGAACACTACCAAAAGTAAAAAAAAGTGAAGAAGAAGAAGTAGAAGAAGAAGAAGAAGGAAAATCTCCGACAACATTGATCGGAAATGTACAGGAAAAATATGATGCATGAAAAATGAAGTGAGTGTTTTTTGTTTCATGTTATGAATAATAATATTATTATACAGACTTTTCTCTTTTTTTTATTTTATTTCCACTGCTGTGGTTTTTTCTGCTCTAATTTTGTTTTTTCAAATTGTTTTTGTTGTTTTTCTTTTTTTCATGTTGTAGGTATTTGTGGGTAGATAGACCTAATTTACTCTAAGGGAGAAAAAAAAAAAAAAAAAACGGAAAGATTTATTGTTTGCGGAAACCATGTCAGATTCTGCAGTTGATCCAAGTGAATTCCAGAAGCTCATAGGAAATATTATGAAGCAAAAGTATGTTCACGAGCAGCGTGTTGCCGATAATGATTTAAGTCGTCATCGTCAGCGCACGGAACGCAGTCGATCTGCATCGCGTACACCAGATAAGCGTCGTTCCAACAGTATCAACAGTCGTGGTAGTCGTTTTGCAGAAGGGCGGAGAAGTAGTGTACAATTAGGTGGACGTCCTCCGTGTATCCCTTCATGCGTAAGGACTCTCATTCCAGAGGTGGAATCATCAGAACAAGTTGTGCAGGAGTCCGGCAACACTTTCTCAGACACCAGGTCAGAAAATATTACGGATGTCAAGGATAATGACAACAATAATGATGGACAAACCACAGATTTTCATCTCAATTCAACCAATTTATCTACCACATCAGATATTTTACATAGTGATAATCATGATGATGGTGACAATAATAATAATAATAATAATAATAATAATAATAATAATAATAATAATAATGCGGAAAATGAAGTTAATAAAGCCTCAGTTGAGACTGAAAGAGGTGAAGGTGATGATTCTGCCTCGTCTATAATGAGAAAACACAAATTTATTCAGAGTCCAAAATTGGATACAAGTGTTGTTTCTGCATCATCACAGAATGGGTTAAAAGAAGAACAACTTCAACCTCAAACTTCATTGATTGAATGTTCTCGATGTATGGCTTTGGAGGCAAAGATGCAAGAAATGCAAGACGCGCTAAATAAACTATCGACTAAGGTTACCCTTTTAGATGCTAGACAACAAGGATCTAGTGAAAATGGGTTAAAAGTTGATGAGACTGTTTCAGAACTTCCAGGAAATCTAGAGGAATTAGGAAAAACTATGGAGGAAAGATTTCTCACAGTTGTGACTGCGCTTGCTAAACGAGTACGTCAATTAGAAGTAGATTTGGAAACATCCTTGCAGCAAGTTCGAATCATGGAAGCCGCTGCTATTGAGCGGGATGTAAAACTAAATACAACAAAAGTGGGTCATGATCAAATTGCTGAAACTGTTGCAGAGGTTCTCCAGCAGGTTCCCATTAAACAAGAGAGAGATGTTACAAATTTGTATAAAATCTTTGGATTAAATACAAATGATGTACGTAAAGCTCTTAATTCATCTAATCCTTCTGAATGTGTGGATATGTTATTATCAACTCCACCTTTTGCTCGTATCTTAAATCTTGTGATGGAAAATAATAATGATATATTTAATACACTTCATGAAGATAAATTACGTAGTGAAGAGGGAGAATTTCCTTACTATGATCAAGTACCGTTGTCCAGTAAGCATAGCAGCTCCCTAACACCACGACAAAAATATCCAGTTCCTCTTCATGAACAACTTATGGGGATTGTCTTACAGGATGAAAAGGATCTTCATGGTGTACGAGTGATTTCTGTTCCTCCAGGATCTTCTGCAGCGCATGCAGTAAGACCAGGTGATATTATCGTTCAAGTCAATCGTGTTACCGTGCGGTCCCTTGCAGATGTATCGTATGTACTTTCTCGGGCACAACCGCATGCTCTCATCACATTGGGTGTGCAACTCTCTGATGAGCCGTATGTGGAAGTTGTGCGTGTAATGCCACTTGAAGTGTTGTAAAAGAAGAGCAGGAAGACGCATATAGAGAAAATTGATGAAGTGGACCAGTCGTCCCTGAAAGAGTAAGGAAAAAAAAAAAAAAAAGAGTGTAAATGTGTTAAGGAATGAAGTTAGTAGGGGGTTTAGAAACTCGCTACTGTGTTAGTACAAGTAAAGTTAGCAAAAGTTCAATCTATGTGGTGAGGTCGAAGGGATATATTAAAATGAAGGAGAGTGTTATGCACCAAAACAAAGCGAAAGAAAAAGAAAAAAAATGTGGCTTTCTTAAGGCGCAATGGAGCATTCTTCTCAATTCATTAAAAATACCCTTCCAGATCGACAAGTATTGACTTCTCATATTTTATTATTATTATTATTATTATTATTATTATTATTATTATTATTATTTCTATCGTCATATTTTTTAATTATTCCTATTTCTTTTTTTTTTTTTTTGCGAACTTCAATCTTTGTATGTGTATTGTACATGTACGCTTGGAGTTGAAACATGGGGTAATAAAAGAGATTATCGCATTCCTAACGACACCATGTTACTATTCGGCCCCTATTTTCTAGAGGTGTTGGCATGAGTAAAAGAAAAACTAGTGAAAAAAATATATATATATACTTTTTTGCTTTTTTACATTTTCTTCTTATCAATTCTCCCCTTTCTCTCTTATCTGCTAATTCTGTCAGTATATTGTATTCTAATTATTTTTTTCCCCCAATTGTTTTAACTACATAGAGTAACCAAATAAAGAATAAAAAAAAAGAAAAAGGAAAGAAGTGGGTGAGCCAGCTGTGAAGTGTTGCGTGTTTTGTTTTTGTTTTTGTTGTTGTCATTAAAAGGTGTTTTTTTTTTTTTTTTTTCAGACGCAAAACACACACACACATACACATACAGTAGAGCAAAAAATAAACTTCTATAGTACTGTTAGCAATGGCCTTAACACATGGTACAAGAGCTAAGTTCAGCCGATTCACAGCAATAGTTGAGAGAGCGCGAAGACTTCTTTACACTGGCCCTGCTGGTACAAACGGAATCCGTGCACTCAGTCGAAGCCTTGGTGTGGCTGTGGATGCTGGAGGTACACTTGTGGAAAAGACAAAATTTATACAAGCATTAAACAGCAATGGGGTTCCGTTAAGTGATGATGATGTGGATGCTATCATGCATGTTTTGGATAGAAATGGTGAAGGGATGCTGGATCCAGTAGATTTTATTGCAGCACTAAGACTGGATCTTACTCCAATGAAACGTACATGGGTTATTCGAGTCTGGTATATATTTAACCAGAACAGAGATGGAACTATTAAGATCGATGAACTTGTTGAGAAATTTAATCCATCTGGTCATCCAGATGTTGTGAAGGGAGAACGAAGTGAACAAGATGTACGTGAAGAGTTTGAAGCCACTTTTAATTCTACAACTAATCCAGATGGAGTTATAACACGACAGGAATTTGAAGAATATTACTCTTGTGTGGCTGGATTATGTCCTGATGATAGTTCATTTGTAGACCTAATGCGAGGTATTTGGCCAACAGCTGTTAGTGTACCAAGTAAACCTTCTGGTTCTGTTACTATGCAGCGTAATGAATGTAATACAACTTTTAAAGCTGCGCAAACGGCGTCCGAAAAACTTGCAGTCAATACGGTAAGACAATATGCTGCTGATTTAAATGAGTTAATTCGAACAGTTCATCGACCTTCTGTTATGGGTGCTCCATATGCAGTTCGTCAGCTCTCGTTATTGCTGAGGGAAATGGATAATGAGAAGAGATTCTTTTTACCAAGAGATGTCTTTTTGGGAGCCATGTGGAAAAAACGACTTTATTTTACAGATGCGGAAGATCTACTTTCCGTACTAGACACTAGAGGTGATGGTTCAGTTGATTACTTATTGTACCTACAGATTCTTCTTCCTCAAATTCCACCTGCTCGAATTATGATGATTGAACGACTTTGGGAATTGTTTCCAAAGGATATATGTGGTACTATTGATATTATGGAGATTCATAGTCGTTTTCATGCAAAGGATGGTGAAGAAAAGAATGCTTTCCTCTCAGCATGGGATGTTCGTTCTGCTATTAATCGTCGAATTACGCTTGAAGAATTGGTGGAATGGTATACACCTATAAGTGCTACAATTCAGTTGGATAAAGACTTTGATATATTGCTCAAAAGGCAATGGTCTCTTGAATAGAAGAATCTCCTGATTCTTTTAAAAAACTCTCTCTCTCTCTTTGCGTGTCAGTAAAAGAGAGCAGATTAAAGAAAAAAAGAAAAGTAGGCGCGGTATGTATAGAATTCAAAATGTGGCTTATTTGGAGTAAATATATATATATATATGGTATGGTGGGTGAAGATTCTGACATGTAGAGTGCTTAAATAAAGCTTGTTCATTTCACGACATTTCGCCGTTATCAAAGAAGAAAAAAAAAAAAAAAGAGGTACACAACAATAAATTTTTAATATGGTGTGTATATACTTATATGAATAGATTGTACTTTAATATACTTTTTTTTCCTTTATTTCTTTTTTTTTTTTTGATCTTTCTTTCTTGGGGTTATTAGATGAGCAAAAGTACATGGAAAGAAAAAACTAAACCATATATAACTGGGAAGGATTAACCTCCTTAGAATTGAAGGAGATGAAATGAAAGTGCAATTATCGACACAAATAAAAGAAAAATAATTATGAATGACCTATAGTTGTTCTTATTTATAAATATCCAGAGATTGATGCATTTTATTGATCTGCATAAGAATCTCATGGTGTAATATCTTATGCTTCCTGCGATATCCACCTCTTCAGAGGCATCTTTATCGTATTGAGGTTGGTGGAAACGTATAAAATGACATAATTCGGTTTCCCATGGACTAACACGACGACATATGAGAGGTTCACGAGGGTGATCAGTAGGTATCCCAATAATATCACACACTCGTTTCAGTTCCTTAAGGACTGTCTCTCTTGGTAAGGGAATCGGCTTGGTTGTGCGACGATTAATCGTAGGTGGCGCAGGCTGCGTATAAATGACTCTACGAATGCCGTCAGTGTCGGGGAGGCGTAGAAATCTCTCGTGTTGGGCAAGCACCCTAAGCATAGATAATTTGCTTAAGGGTAACAGGTTTGCTTCTAAATAAACAGAAGAATTTTCTGTTGCAGTACTTAATCCCAGGGAGGCTTTACAACTCTCTCGATATCTCACCTCTAAGATTTGAAGATACGTGGGTGCAATGCATGGGAGAACAGCCTCGCACCCATATAGCAAGACACTATGCACGTATCCAATAAGAAATGAACGCATGGTATGATGATTTGCACCTGCTTGTGCAACAAGTTTAAGCTGATAACGGCGTAACATCGTTTGTTTGGATGCTTTATCAACGTGAGGGCCAAAGTTGAGTAAACGGTTAATGTTCACACCAAGCAGTTTAACGGGGCGAGACTCAATACGGAGTGTCCCGTGACCAAGCCGAAGATGTACCTCTTCCGCATCGGATGCTGTATGGGAAGAGGCGTAAAAGAGTACTGCGTCATTTAAGACCACGGGTAATCTGATCCAACATAAGAGTTACCACATCCGTAGTACATCGGAGGGCCATAAATCCAAATTGTCGACGGTGATGAGGGAATAATGCTGTTAGGCATCGGTGGACCATACGTTCGGCCACCTTAAGCAAGACTGATAGTAATGTCACTGGACGATAACTATCAGTACGGCTGGGGTCCTTACCCGGTTTAGGGATAGGGGCCGTCACCCCTATTTTCCATTGCGGAGGAAGCTCTCCAGATGCAAAGGAAGTATTTATCATTCTCCGAAGCATGTTTCGAGCAACAGGGCCAAGATGATGGAGAAAATCATTCATAATACCATCAGGCCCAGGTGCTGTTCCCAGAGGAGCATCATGGATGGCCAAATCCAATTCATAAGGAGTATACGGACAATCCATGTCACAAAGAGCACCACAACAGTCTTGTCGTATTGGTGGGGTATTTGTGAGTAAAGCACCTGAGGCCTGTACAAACTGGCGAACAAGTAGGTTGGCTTTTTGGCAGGGGAGCGTACAGGTACGATCATTAAGTGATCGGAGAACCACTGTAGAAAGTGGGCGAGGAGGCGATGCCGCCAATCCTCTTAAATAACGCCAACTGGGGGGTGGACAAGGCCCCGAGTTTTTGAGCGCGGGATTCCATAAGTATTTGGATCCCTCGACGAAAAGCTGAGTTTCGTCGATCCTTGGCCCGGATGAATGCGTTCCAAAGCATGTCACCATGTGGGGTGACAAGGTGAGCCTGAAACGCGTACTTAGCCTGTTGAGATGCCAGATCCATATCGTCCGTCCAAATCGTACGAGGGTTGTCACGGCTGCCCTTAGGAATAGTTTGTTTTACCGCACGCAGGATGCCACGATAGACCGAATGCCATGTAGTAGCATTTGCTGACGCCGAGTCGCACTTCGAAGTGAAGTTGGGCCGATCAGCCTTTCGGAGAGCATACGTTGCAGATTTGCGGCGCGGGAATGTATTAGTCACGCTAGGTTCGCCTTCACCTATCGCAAGGGAGTAACTGATCAAACTGTGATCAGAATCCATATACGGTGTAGGTAACCAATTGTCAACAGTCACCGAACGTGAGAAAGTCACATCAGGTAACGAGCTATCAGTTCCATTGGCTCGTGTTGCCAGCAAAGGGTTCTTTACCACTTCAAATCCAAGATAACCAAAGTTGTTGCAAAGTCTTCTCCTTCTTTGGAAGCAGGCAAACGGCTGTCCCAGATATCATGGTGTAAGTTAGCATCGCCAGCCACAAGCGCATGTGGATCAAGACGACGAACAATACTTATCAAATGGGATATACGTGCCATTGCGGGGGGTGGGTTGTAAAAAGTCACCACAGACAATGGGGGACTTGCTGGAGCAAATACGCGGATGGCGATGGTCTCTAAGCAGTCGGTACAAGGTAGTGAAACCTGTTCACATTGGAGTCCATGGCGCACTAGAATAGCGAAGCCACCGCCTCTACCCTTACGGGGGTGATGGAAATCACAATACCCTAGAATTTTCGTTGCCGTCGTACTCTGGTTCTTCGTCTCCTGGAGAAGGACAATGTCCGGTAGAAATGCTGAAAGACGGTGGTTAAGAGCCGCCTTTTTTAATGGTGAAAGGCCGGCGATGTTCAGTTGCCAACAAATAAGGCGTCCATTAGCATCGGGGACAGGGTTCTTCTGGACGTCGCCAGACTGAGTAATATCAACAAATTTGCCATCGCGAGATTTTTTTTTTTTTTTTTTTTTTTTTTTTTTTTTTTTTTTTTTTAAGAGGGGTGTGTGTGGGGGTGGGGATGGTAGCAGTCCTTGTTCTTGTTGTTTATTTTATTTTTTTTTATCTATTTCTGTGTGTGTGGTATCTTCTCTACTCCAGTGCTTTATTATTATTATTATTATTATTATTATTATTATTATTATTATTATTATTTCCTGTTGTTGTTGCTGCGGTGGGTGTAGGAAGTGCTAGCAGGTGATGGACTTCGCGGCCCTCCCGCACGATGGCGAGTCGTTCCGCGCGCGCCACAGCGAGTGCCTCGACGTGGGCGTCCTGCGGCTGGCGGCGGCGCTGCGGGCGGCGGAGGTGAACGGCGGGGCGGAGGCGGAGGCGGAGGCGGGGGAAATCCTCGCGGCCCTCCCGTCCCCCGTCGCCGCTCGCCTCGCGGAGGTCGCCGCCCGCCTCCCCGAGTGGACCCGCAAGCGCCGGGCGGAGGCGGCGGAACGGCGGGCAGCGGCGGAGGCGGCGAGGCGACGACTTGAAGGACTGCGGGAGGCAACAGAGCGGGCAGCCACGGAGGCAGCAGGACTCTCTGAACGCATCAGCGCAGCGAACAGTGAGAATAGGCGCGAGGAGCGGTTAGATGCCGAGCGTAGACGAGAGAGAAGGCGGGAACAGCAAGATATCCAAAGGCAGATTGAAAAGAAGGAGCTTCAACTTCGAAGGGAGACAATGGAGCACGATAGGCTCAGTAAAATGCTCAACAAGGTTAGAAAGTAGGTGTAGGAAACGGAATGCACCTGTATCAAACACACACCAGAAAACGTAGATTGTATACAGATAGACTCACACAGTAATAGACAACAACAACAACAAAAAAAAAAACAATTATTTCTTGTATTGAGTTACTATTTATTTAAAAAAAAAAGAAGAATTACGAACAAATACCGGGAAAAGAAAGTAGTTTTATTCTCCTTATCGTACTGTAATTTCCGCTCTCTTTTTATAATTAAAAAAAATTTTTTTTTATTTTATTTTTTTTTTCTTTTTGTGCGTTTGGATCTAAGGAAAGACTCATTTTGAAAAGGAAGTAACACAAAGTGATCTTTTCACACCATCATGCTGCTGTGTTTCATTTCTGGTGAGCATTCGTCAATGTCAATGGGGTGAGAGGAAGTGTAATATGTTTGCTAGTACACTCATATATTTTGACTCTCATATTGCAGAATATTCCTTGCATTCTGCTTTAGCAAACTCCCCGTGTCACCGTATTTCTCTCTGGTCGTGATTTTGGTATATGACAGCCGGAAGAAGAAGACTACATTCATTACTCTTTTTCTCTCCCACTTTCAATAGCTTCTGCTTCTTGCACGACAGAAAGTTTAATAAGAGGTATATGATTTCTGTAGAAGAGGAATTAACTACCCCTATTAAAATGTATAAGGGTGTTTGGTCATCAGGGGGGTAAACCATATTCTTCTAACTCTTAATGGGGAAATTCTTATTGGTTTGATTTTTATTTTGGAAAGGTGGAATGTGGTGTCGAGAGTGTAAAGGATGGAAAGAGAACAGTCTGGGTTTACGTTTATTAGTACAAAAGTATTTATTATCATTATGTCTAAATGACTCGTCAGAAAAAAAAAAAAGGTGAGGTTTTTCAAAAAGTCTATCTAACCCATCTCTCTTCGAATCGCAAGGTAAATGAGCTAAAAGGATTCTTTAATAAGTTCACTTTTCCCTACTACTTAATAATGATCACAGAGGTAGTGAATGGAGATGTTGGATCTATATTTATGAAGGTTGATTTCAGTAAATGTGTCAATAAAGAAAACAAGAAAGAATAAAAAAAAATGGTGAATATTTCCTTTCTCTTCTTATCCTTTTGTTAAGGAGAGTGAAAGGAAAGATTAGTTCTGATACCCTTAAAAGAGTACGAACAGATAATAATAATAATAATAATAATAATAATAATAATAATAATAAAACAGATTAAAAGAAGAATAAAAAAAAAATAGAGAGAGACATAAAGGGATTATGTCGCCAAAGGAAAATGATAAACATGATGAGATGATAGATGAGATGAGACGACTTCAAGTAAGTGATGATACTTCACAAGAGTTGATTGTTATTCAACATGTTCCTCTTGACAGGGAAAACATTGTCCGTGGAATTTTAGATATGACGCTGAATGCATATGCTAAACAACGCAAGCAGTACCATATATCGAATATTTCTGGCAAGGCTGCGTTAAACGAGGCAGGGGATAAACTATTATTTTTTAATATAATGCAGAATGTTATCACTTTAATGGGAGAAAATAATAAACTTTTTCTAAAGGAGGAATTTGAAGTAAATAAAAAAAGAAAAACCCGTGCTGATCTTGTTTTAATGGATGAAAATAATAAGAACATTCTTCTTATTATAGAGATGAAGACTGTTCAGATTCAGTATCTTATTCCTCTTCGAAATGACTCTGATATCACTCACTCCGAAAAAGTTGTGCGTCGAGTTATTGAAGAGGAGTTTGTAAAGAAAGAATGTGGTCCCGATTGGAACGAATTAAAATCATTTCATCGTGTTGAAAAGTATTGTAAAATTTATCAACAAGATGTTCAATCAAATAACAGTACTGGTTCTGACTTAAATGGTTCTCCAAGAGGACGTTCGATTGATGTGATCTTTCGTGAGGCACGGGAACAGCTTCAAGGATATTGTGAAGATGCTAAAAAAGAATATTCTGGAGTAGATGAGGCGATTAAAATGGTTTTATGCACAGTTGGGCCTTTTATTTACAAGGTGTACATCTAAATATCCTTTACCAGATCTATGTTGATATATATATATATATATATATATTATTTTTTTTTTGTTGTTGTTACCCTTTCCTTTATAGCATTAGGAAGGGTGGGTGAGTTGACTACTTCTGCACTCTTTTTAATTTGGGTAAAGGGTATATTCTGTTTTTTTTTTCTTTTTTGTTGTTGTTGTTCTCCCTCTATGCTTATATAGTTACATTATTTGTTTCATTTTATTTCTCTTTCTCTTTCTTTTTTTATGTTTGTGTTTGTACATCTGTGTCTATGTATGTGTGTGTGTGTTACCATGTTGCATTCTATTTTTTTTTTTTTTTTTTTTTTTTTTTTTTTTTTCTTTGTAGATTGTTAGTGTAAACGAGGGATATTGAAACAATAGATTAAAAAATAAAGAGACACAGTTCTTTTTAATATGGCGCTATCTAAACAAGATCCGCGCTTGGCCTTTTACTGTGAAAAACATGATGATATATCACACCTCACGAGACGATATGTTTTACTTTTTTATTATGAAGATCATTCCATTGAAATGCGAGAAATGCCAAATAATGTTTTACACCTAAAACGGACACCCTTTCCACATTTGAAAAAAGATGATTTTAACATTGGTTCCGTATTAACAATATTTGGTGGAATAGTAACACTTACTGCATATGCGGATGAGGTGACACGAGAATTATGCGAAAGGAAAAGTGAATCTACTGTAATACTTTTGGGTGAGTCTCTTCTCTCACAGATGGGGCGATGTTTAGCCATTCTCACAGAAGAATGTGGATTCACCATTTCCGCTATGCAAATGACTTGGACAATGGAGGATGCGGTAGCCAATTATGGTTTACCGGCAGAACTCGTTGGTGGTCGTGTTGTTGTGGTAAGATGTGCCCGCACAGACGCTATTCAAAAAGGTTTAGATTATGTGAATCGTGTTCCTGGTGCACATGCTGCACATAATGAGGAAGAGGCAAAACGATGGAATCAGTTATTGGAAGAAGCCAGTAAACAACCTGTTGCTATTTTCAATGACTATCGTTCTTCTGTTATAATTGTTAAACCGCATGCTCTAAGGAAAAAAGCAGGTGGAAGTATTATTCAGCATTTATTGGATGTAACTAGATTAGAGTTAACAGCTCTAATGCTTGTTAATCTCTCATCTCGTGTAGTAGATGAGTTCTTGCAACCATACAAAGGAGTACTTCCTGATTTTGTTGAAACAGCATCTGCATTAACTGGACCTGTTTGGATTCTTCAATTGGTATCTTTGAATGATGATGTTGTTGATGTCATTTCCACTGTACGTGAGGTCTGTGGTCCATTTGATCCTTTTATCGCAAAGGAATTGAGACCAAAAACAATTCGTGCTATTTTTGGTGTAAATCGTGCAGAGAACGCTGTTCATTGTTGTGACCTCCCTGATGAAGGACCACTCTACGCTGACTTTTTCTTCAAGAGAAATGTACAGGAAGCTTGATATTTCTTTTTTTTCTTTCTTTCTTTCTTTCTTTCTTTGTGAATTCTCTTCAGAAATGTATACCTCGTCTTTTATATGTGGTGAGATGGGAGTAGTGAAGTGAACTCATTTTTTTTTTTTTTTTCAATGATTATTTGTCAAAATAATGGTGTTTCAGTTATTGTTTTCTGGAGTTTTGGGTGTGAGTTTTATTTTATCTTACTTTCTTGGATATATAAAAGTAGTTAAAATAAAGTTCACTGTTGTTGTGTTTTTGTTAGTGTTGTTTTTCCGTGGTAAATATCATTGAAAATATATACACAAAAACACTTTGGAAGCCTTGATTGTTTTTTTTTTCTCTCTTGTTAGACTTTATTGCACTGTTGGAAGTATTGATTTTCCTCCAAAAATCGGGTTTTTGTGTGACATTTGAAAGAGGGGAGAAAAAAGTAATCGTTTTGAAAATGCACTGAGAAATGATTTTGTGAAAATTTCTTTTTGAGGGTGCACGTTTGACAAATGGTTATACGTAAAGAGTTGAAAAATTTTTTTTTCTTTTTGAAAAAGTGATCCATAAAAAAAGAAAAAAAAAAAGAAAGAAAGTGAGGAAAGAAACAGAAAAAGAAAGCTGCACTGATATGTATACGTTCGTCTGTATAAGACGTCATTATGTTTATGTTGCTATGCAAGAGCACACAGAGGGGCTTTGTTGTTCTTTTTTTTTATATTGATGTGTTGCCTTTTGCCGCTTATCTATTGAGGAAATGATTCTGTTTCTCATACCTAATGGATATACTCTTTTTTTTTTTCTACAATAAACTTTTCTCTTGCTTTTGTATATATATATATATTTACTTTACCTTAGCTCAAAGGAGAATACAATGAGCTATAGTGATACGATAGGTGATAAGGATATACTCCGGCGAAAGACACCAACGAACCCAAAATACAGTTATGTAAAGCCAGTTGTGGAGTCTGGTCTCACGGCAGAGTTGGCGCAGTTTATTAAGCAAACAACAGCTTCTACACAACGCCTCCCAGGTGAACCTTTTCTACGTGTCCGGCCCAAGTTGTTGGGAGATTACATAAACCTTTTAAAGGAGTTAAAAGAGAGGGAACAGTGTGATGAAAACGGTGGTTTTGTGCACCCAATGGATGAGTACCGTCCACCGGAGTTAAAACCCAGTAAAGAGTATTTAATACTTGACGTGCGTTCAGAGGATGAGTATAAGGAATGTCATATTGAGGGTGCACTACACTATCCTAAACGAAGAATGGTACATGCAACTAATCCGTTTATTCCTGAAATGCTTGCCTTTAAAAATAAAGAGAATAAATTAATTGTGGTGTATGATTTGGAAGAAGATTTAACAGTGGGACAAAAGGTAGGCACCATTCTTTTTGAAAAAGGTATTGATAACATCGCAGTACTTTCTGGTGGATTGAGGGAATTTGTGCAGGATTACCCCACCTTGATTGTGGGTGAATCTCCTGTTCCTATTGTACCACGTGATAAACGTCTGCAGAAACGAGCGGATGCGATTTCAGCATCACGTACCGAAACAAGCCGTAGTTATTTCACACACAAACCGAAGAGCTTGTCTAATAGTCTGGCAAAGGCAAGGCAACGCTGAGAAGGTGAAAGAAAAAAGAAAATAAATAAAAGTGTGTGCATCAACCATAAAAAAAAAAAAAGAAAAAATCGATGTTTCAGAGAAAAAAAAAAAGAAAAAAAAAGTATTTATATAATTTAATGCTTTACTTTTTTTTTTGTATTTTTCATTTCAATAGAACGTGAAAGATGTTTAAAGGGGGTACTCCCAGGTTTCAACTTTTATACAATATATTTGTGTCTGTGTGTTGAAATTAGAGGGGGGCAATATATAGAGAAATAGAGAAATAAGGTGTGTGTGGGTGTGTGTGTGTGTGTGTGAGAGAGAGAGAGAGAGAGAGAGAGTCTGTTTACGATAAGACCCACAAGTTTCTATTACTGTCATTTGCATTTTTTTTTTTTTTTGTGAGTTAATTATAACTCACAAGATGTATTAAAATGGAAATTTTCTTCTTTGACTCTCTTTTATTTCCTTTAACCGCTGTATTCTTCTATTTATTGCTTTCTTTTTTTTTATCTCTTTTTTATTATTATTCCTTTATGACGCTGTTTTTTTTTTTTTTTTTTTTTCAATATTGAGGGGGTGGCTTTAGTAGAATGATGTCAGATATAGATGATGCTCGGGACATGCTAATTGATGCCGGTAGATCCCGCAAACGAACATTACAAACACCATCATTTTACAATAATATTCCCCATGATGATATTTGTAATGAGGAAGAGCGAGAAGGCAATAATAACAGTATCAACAATAATAACAATCTTGGTATGCCAGCATATGAACAAGTAGATGCAGAAAAGTGGTCTAAACCAAATGGAGCTACTCCACCACGACGAAAGACGGGACCAAAAGTGGCCCAAACACGTGTTACCGTAGGAATGCGGTTAAAACGATGGATTATAACCGGTCGTATTGGGGCTGGTTCCTTTGGTGAAACATTTACGGCTGTAGAGGCAAATAAAGAAGGAGAAGGTGATGGAGAAGGAGAAACAGCAGAAGATGTTCTTGTACCTTCCCATGATGGTACATTGGTTACTTCTGGTAAACAAGAAGTGTGTATAAAGGTTGAACAAGACGATAAAAACGTTCTTCGTGTTGAGGCCGCCGCTCTCAAGAAGATGCAGCCCTGTTCTCAGGTAGTACGCTATTTAGGAAGTGGAAGTACAGGAGGTTTAAATTTTTTAGTAATGCAACGACTTGGATCGAATTTAGCAGAACTACGACGTGGTACTCAATCTGGGACATTTAGTACATATACAACTCTTAGGGTTGGTATATCGTGTCTTAAAGCTATACAAGGTATACATGACCTGGGGCTAGTACATCGTGATATTAAACCTTCTAATTTTGTTATTGGTTTAGGAGGATCTTCTGATCCACGCGTGTGTTATTTAATTGATTTTGGTTTGGCTCGTCGTTATCGTCGTGTGAATGGTGAAGTACGTCCTCCACGTGAAAATGCAGGTTTTCGTGGTACAAGCCGATATGCTTCCCTGGCTTCCCATCATCAGCAGGAACTAGGTCGTGTAGATGATATATGGAGTCTTTTATTTATGCTTATAGAATTTGCAACAGGTACTTTACCATGGCGTAAATATAAAGAAAAAGAAGATATTGGTCGTTGTAAAGAAGAAGTTATTGGTCCTGGACTTGTTCAAAATTTACCGAGAGAATTTCGTCCATTTTTAGCACATTTACAAACTCTACGATATGAGGATGAACCAAGTTATGATTTTCTTCTCTCTCTCATGGAACGAGCTATTGAACGTCGTGGGTATCCACCTAATAAGCATTTAGATTGGGAACCTGAAGAAGAATCAGGAAATCATGTAGATCCTCATGATGATTCAAGTTTAGCTATTTGTGTCAGTAAACGTAGTGGAGGTGGTGGTGGAGGAGGTGAAGGTGTTTCTGTTGATAAAACTCCAATTAAATCAGTAACTGCTGAAAATCCTTCGTTAGAACCTCTTGTACGACCAACGGTTCCTGCTCCAGTAGCAGTAAATATGGATATTAGTGCACCTGTTTCTGCAGTTCATTTAATGCGACCATCACTCTGTTCAGAGGATGAGGAAGAACGGTGTAGTCGTGTAAGAGTAAGTGACGTAAATCTTTCCTCTGCAATGCCTAAAATAGACACTTCGAATCATGATACTCCTTTCTTAGTGAAGACAGATAAAAATTCTAATACAAAAACGGCTTCGCATGTGCACCATGTGCCTTCAACTCCTTTAAACCAAAAATTTGGAAAATCTATTTCTGAAGAACAATATATAAATAGCGGTATCCATAATCAGGTTCCCGCTATTACCAAGGAAGATCAAATTTCTGTGGAGGATTCTGAATTAGTAGACATTGGTATTGGTTTCTCACCACGTGAAGGGGATGGTTCTGTAGCAAATGGTAAACCAAAAAATGGAGATATCTCACCACCTCCAGAATGGTTAATGGATACAATGAAACCACAACACGGGCCAGAATCACCAGACCAGAATCAAGGAAAAGAACAACAAACTGTTGAAATTGGGAAGAAAAGGGTTTCCTTTGCCCTAAATGTAGATGTTGCTGATGAAGCAGCGAGGGGTGCGCCGAAAACCCGAAAAGAATCGAAACAGGAGAAAAAAAAAGCTAAGTGTAAATGTAACATCATGTAAGCGTGTGTGAGATGGGGAAGGGAGAGAGAGAGAGAGAGAGAGTGGTGGTCTCTTCATTTGTATTATCAAAAATATAGATAGGGAAAGCAATTAAAAAAAAAAAAAAGAGGCATAATTGAGGAGAACCGGTAGGTAAGGGGTATATATATATATATATGTTTTAAAGTTTTCCCAGTTTTTTTTTTTTTCCTTCATTGAGGTTATAGAAGTGACGTTTTTAGTGTTGTTGTGTTTGCAGTATTACCCTTGTGGTGATGTTGCATGGTCGTTGTTGTTGTTGTCGTTGTTGTTTTGTTTTGTTTTGTTTTGTTTTTTTTGTACAGTTTACCGTGTAGTTTGATGTGGCCTTGCGTTTTTTTTTTTTTTTTTTTTTTTTGTTTTTGTTTTTCCTTTCCACAAAAGTAACGAAAATAAGGGTTTTACCATTTACTGTGTGCCCCTTTTTTTTTATCTTTATTACTATTTTTTTTTTTGCTGTTTGATTTTTGCTAATATTATCTCCTATCATTACTATTTTTGATGTATTTCCCAACTTTTTTTTCTTATGATACCCCTTAGGTGTGTGCGTGTTTTCACTAAGGTGTATATACATAGATATAGATATATATATATGTATATACTGACTCACATATACGAGTAACGATAATAATAGAGAAGAGATCATTAACGGTAGGTGGATTTAATTTCTTTAGTGCTTGAGGGTCTTTGAAACAATTCATGTCGGACGTTGATCAGTTAATTGATGAGCTCTTTCCTACAGGGAAAAAGGGTCTTGGCATGGACGCCAAAAAAACTCGGGAGTTGGAAAAAGTAAGACCTTCACATTCAGATTGGGATTCAAGTGATGATGAAGCAATTGAAAAGGGTACAAAAGGGCGTGCAACGCAATTTCCCGTTTCAGTAAGCAAAAACACTGATTCCGTTTCAAAAATATCATCCAAAAATTATTTTGATGATAGTGATGATAATAACTCTGAAGGTAGTGTTGTAAAGTCTGGTTTTACCGTTCCATTTCCTTTATTCCCAAATAATATCGGTAGGGAGTGTAAGGGAAGGTGTCTCGTAACAAACATGGGAGCAAAAAATATTTTTCACCCTAGCATTTCTCAGTTATTGCTTGTTGCAGAAGGTAAATATAATGCTCGATCAACGCAAAAACAGTTGTTTGAACGTAAAGGGGCTTTTCATGCATATAATCCTGAAGTTGGTAATGGGGCCTCTGATAGATATTCTCACGATGATAATAGTGGTGGTTGCCCATTTATTATGTGCTGCAAGTGTAACTATGCTGTAATACGTCTTCAAGGGGCAGCATGGCAAGATCGAAATGGAACAATAGATCTCTATTTAACCGTTAGAAATTATTATCCAGATTGGAGCCGTTTAGCCAGTTCCTATCCTGTTGGACAGAAAACAAATGGAGTACAGAATAGGGTATTATGTGCAAGTAGTAACTCTGCTGCATATTGCTGTCAATGTTCCTGGCTTTCTGTGAAGAGTCCTAGGGAAATGATAGAAACTCTTTTGGTACATCATGCGGGATTTGTAGGAAGAGAAGATTCTTGCTGTTTTGCCACACAGTTGCCTCTATTGCAGGGAGAGAAACGAAGACCACCTCTTTGGGTGTGTAGGGGACATTTACCACAATTTTAAGAAATTAATGTGTAGAGGATTTTGATCTTTTTTTTTCGTGTAATTTTTGGTTTTTGTTTCAGAGGTATCATTCACTTAAAGCTGATGTTATTATCAGATAATTTCTCTCTTTCTTTCTCTTTTTTTTTTCTTCTTGTGTGTGTGTGTGTATATGTGTTTTCATGAAGCTGCAATTGGAAATAGAAGTGTTTATGGATTTCCTCATAGTGTAAATATGATTTGTTTATTTATTTAATTGATTAATTAATGAATTTTTATTTAATTTAATTTTATTTTTTCCTTCTGTTATATCTTTTTTATTTTTTTTTTTGTGTTTTAAAGGGTTATAGTATATTAACAAATGCCTCCCAAGAAGAAGAGTTCTAAAAAGAAGGATATCTTACCCGATCCCAACACTCTTGAGGATGGACAGTGTAACTACTATATAGGTTCCTGGTCTCATTACCAGAGCATTGATGCCATCTCCGATATTGCACAAAACGTAGTGGAAAAACACACAGCGGCTGATGGGGAAGTGATGCCGTTGCCAACCACTGTTGTTCTTATCCCTGCTTGTTCACTTGGTGATCCATGTGCACACTATGATGTATCGGTTGCTGATAAGATGCATATTGAGAGTGTTCCTCTTACGTCTATGAAAACTCTCGATGCAGCACAAACAGAAGTAAAGGAAGTTCAAGAAGAGGAATTGGATCGTGATAAGAAACCCTCTGAGGAAAAGGATAAAGTTGAAGAACAACCATCCTCAATGAAAGAGGATGTTGGTGCTTCTTCAGTTACACACGATGTAATTATACGTGGAACAATACATATTGATGGTATTCTAACACGAATTGTGGTTAAACCAGATTTACCAGAAGAGCCTGTTGCTCCACAGACCAAGAAAAAAGGTGCGAAACGCAGAAAGAGTACTAAACTTTTGGAAGAAGAACAAAGACTTCTTGAAGAGCAAAGAAAAATATATGAAGAGAAAGTTAATGCTGCTATTGCTGCAGCTCATGAAGAAGAAGAACATCGCATGCAATTTGCCCATCCTGATAGATGGTCTCATGTTGTTTTCGCTAATATGACTTTTGAGGGAACCGTTATAGTTTCTCACGCCCATGTAACCTTTCAGAATTGTTGCTTTGCTGCAAATAGTCCAGATTCAACACAGTTACTTGTTGCACAATATTGTAAGGTGGAATGTGTTCGATGTACCTTTGAGCGTCCAAGAAAATGTGCACTCTATGGATTTCCTATGGCAGAATTGAAACTGCAAAAGTGTTTATTTACTGGTTCCATGCAGACCTTTTCAAATGAGAATGAAAACGTGGATTCTGCTCGTGAAAAGCGTCCTGATGCTGTTGGATTACATACGGATAAGTGTAAAGTTCAACTGGAGGGATGTCGATTCAAAGATTTGGGTACTGGAATTATTTTTCGAGGCACTTTCCCAACTGGAAATTCTGAAAATCCTGTTATGGTTGTTAAAAAATGTGAGGTGAAAAATATTTTTGGTACAGGTGTTGTTTTAGATAATGTACGTAAAGTAGAAATTGTACACTGTAAATTTGAAGACTGTGGTTACTACGCCTTGGATTGTGTAAAAGGTCAATCTATTCATGTCTTTCAAAACGCTTTTAGTTCAGAGGTACGTGTTCAGAGTAAGGCGCAAGTTAGATTTCTGCACAACAAAACTGCGACAGTTCCATTGTCGTTAAAAGAGGTTGAAAATCCCAACTTGGAACCGATATATTGAAAAGTTGAGATAATATGTAAATAGAGATAAGGGACGGTAGCGAGGTGCTCGTTTTCTTTGCTTCCTCCTTGAGCACTACATATTTTTTATGCCGCTTTATTATTGGGGATGTAGAGGTGAATGAAGTTTTTCTTTTTTTCTTTTTTTTTTTTTTTATGCGTGTTTAAAAACCTTGCAAGGAAGAGAAGAAAAGAAAAGGAAAGAAAAAAACAAAAAGAAAAGAAAAGAACTCACAAATAGAGCGAAACAGAAGAAAAAAAAAAAAAGCTTTGGAGTGAAAGAAGGTGTGTTACAGAGAACCATGTATAGCTGTTGAACCGCCAACCCTCAATAGCAACGGCTGCGTTCGCATTATCTGGGTTTCATGAAGGGGGATTTGCGGCCTAAATATGCAGTGTTGGGAGAAAGAGGTTTCAGAAGTGAGGACCAAATTCTATTATTACCACTTTGTTTTTTTTTTCTTGTTTTTTCTTTCCTCAAAAAATTTCTCATGTCTTTCATATATTTTTTCATTTTGCATGTGCGTCCATTTCTATCTTGGTGTATGTTTTTTTTTTTTTTTTTTTTTTTTTTTTTTTTTTTTTTTTTTTTTTTCATTTTTTTTTTATTTGTTTTATCTAATTTATATAGAGGGGCATGGTTTTTGGTGTGGCAATATATTAGGGCACTGATACGATTGTCTGGTAATGTTTAGTAAGCCCAATGGGACTGTGATTGCAGCCGTTACGGCGGCGGCAGCGGTGGGTGTCCTTTGTCCACTGTTGTTGATACGATTTCTGAATGCTGGTGCTGACAAGAAGAAGGAGGGAAGTAATTATCCTCATGGGAAAAGGGAGAAACGGGTGATTCGTTCTGTGGAGTCAATAGAACATCGCCCCTTTACAAGGGAGGATCTCGCTGAACATGATGGAGTGAAAAAAAATTCTATTTACGTCAGTCTCAAATTAGTAGTTTATGAAGTGGCTCCACAATTCTATGGCCCAGGGCAACCATATCACCTTTACGCTGGGCGTGAAATATCACGTTCTCTTGCTAAATCAGATTTAACGGGTAAGGAGTTGGATAAGGATTGGGTACCGGGCAGCAGTGAAGAGGAGCTACAGCAGTTGGACCAATGGATAGAAAAATTCAAGGCAAAATATCCTGTGGTGGGCTGGTATGTTCCAGATGAGAAATTTTACAGTGTTTAGTTGGTAAATGAGAAATCGACAGTGATGCTACAATGCTGTTTTTCTTTCTTTCTTTCCATCTCTTTATTCCTATCTGTGGAGAGAGAGAGAGAGAGAGAGAGAGAGAGAGAGAGAGAGAGGTGGGAGGAAAGAAGAAGAGTACCTGTTCAATGTAAAGATGATGGGTGGGGTGGAAAGTGGAATCATGTGAATTTGCACATTGTTTCGTTATTTCTCTTTGTCTGTCAAATAAGTGGTAAGAAAGAGGATATATATATTTTTTTTTTACTACATCTATGAAATTTCATAAATTCTATCATATGAAAGATGTTCGTTACATATATTCTTATTATTATTAATTATTATTATTATTATTATTATTATTATTATTATTATTATTAAAGATGGATAAGTAAGGAATGTGAGTAATTTCACTTTTTTTTTTTTGACAGTAAGGTTGAGTGTCGTTGTAGAAAACGTAAGAAATAAAAAAAAAACACTGTAAGAGGATATGACAGTGGGTTCACTAAGGCAGAACGAACTATTATAACTCACACTATTTGCAGTTTGATCTTTCTCTGTGTTTCTATCGTCATGCCAACTTAAGATACTTACATGAGGTATGTAATTCATTTCTTTTTTTTTTTTCTTTTTTCTTTCTCTGTTTTTGGGGTATGGTGACTTTCTGTACTCTCACTCCTAATAATACTCTCTCTCTCATATTTGTGTGAGCTCTGAAGTGCAGGGAGCGTGCACGCATTTACAGGTACACGTGGTGAGACAGGCAAAAGTAGTAGAAGGATACAGATAAATTAAAACAAAGAGAAAGAAAAAAAAAAAATAGTTTTCGCTAAAATCACAAGGAAACAAGGGTCTATTGGACTGTCAAAAAAAGAAAAAAGAAAAAAAAAAGAGAAAGGAAAAAAAAAAAAAAAAGTTTAGCCACGTGTAAATCCGTCCCGTATACTCTTTAAACAACGATAACCATTGAAAAACACAAAGAAGAAGAGAAGGAAAGACCATTAGCGATACGGAATACAGTCACAATATACGCAATTGATCATATTTCCCTCCTTTTTTTTCCTGTCCAGTTTCGTTCCCTTATAGGAACGAAATAAACTTCATGCAGGCACAGAAATTGCCAGCTAACGCAAACCCTAACCCTAACGTTAAAGTGGAGAGTAATAGAACACAAAATGAGTCTATATGCAAAGACAAATCTCATGAGCAGCATTTGCTCTTTAAAAGAGACTGGTATACTACTGGTGCAACCTTTTTTGCAGGAGGATTTGCTGGAGCTTGTAGTCGTACACTGACTGCACCACTAGATCGTATTAAGATAATTGTCCAGGAAGGTCATTTGGTTACTGGTTCAGAAAAACGAATACCTACTTTTAGATCATCCCGGTTGATTCATGTATTCAACTTGATTAGAGCTGATGGTGGTTGGCGCTCCTTTTGGCGTGGAAATGGAATTAACTGTCTGAAAGCAGGTCCTGAATTTGCATTTGTTTTTACCCTTCGTCGCTATTTTCTTTCCCTATATGAGGATGGAGTGGAAGAGGAACAGCGACGAATGCTACAGCGGGAAGAAGAGGATGCAAATGGTACTCCCACAAATGTGAACCGGCCACCTATCTCTGTACTCCCTGCCCCGCTGAACGCATACGGTAACCTTATCGATGTTCCTCGCATCTTTGTTAACTTCTGCATTGGCGCCTGGGCGGGTTTTGGTGCCCAATTAGCGCTCTACCCACTAGAAGTCGTCAAGACACGCATTGCCGTATCAAAGACGACGGAGTTCCGCGGTGGTATTCGCCAAGTCGTTGCTGAAACATATCAACAAGGCGGTATTAGAGAGTTCTACCGCGGACTCACACCAAACATGGTGGGTGTCTTTCTCTACCGCGGTCTTGAAGTGGGCGTCTATTCAACAGCACAGCAACAAATCATGATGTACCGCATGCGGCGGTATGGTATGAGCCGCCATGATGCTTCTCTCTCTTCTGCAGAGACTGCAGGCGTCGGTATGGTCGCTTCTATACTCGCACAGACTGTGTCATATCCCCTCAACGTTGTTCGCACACGATTACAGACACAGGGAATCAACGGCCGAGCGATAAAATACACGGGGATGATTGATTGCTTCGTAAAGATGGTCCGAACAAAAGGACCAGCTTCACTTTTCTCTGGTATAACAGCAAACTATCTTAAAGCGGTACCTGCGAGTTCGTGTATGTTTGTTGTATTTGAAGGTGTGCAGAAAATACTTGTGGGGGATGATTGATCTCCTTTTTTTTTTTTTCTTCTCTTCATGCCCCCCATCCCTCTGCGTATTTGTGTGTTTGTGTGTGTGTGTTTGTTTGTTTGTGTGTTTTTGCCGCCTGCGTGCGTATAATTGTGTTTTAGAATTCGGGTGATCTTGTGTCGACAAGGACGTCGAAAAAAAAAAAAAAGAAAAAAAGAATACGAATGAAAGGGGAAAAAAATATTAACTCTCAGAGCGAATAGATGAAAGGGGAAAAGAAAAAAAAAAAAAAGGAAATGAGAAGATAAGAAGGTTGAAAGTTTGTGTGTGTGTGTGTGTGTGTGCTCACACTATAGGATTTGATTACTGCAAAAATGGCAGTCAAGAGAGAAACTTGCAGCTTGTTCTGTTCTTTTATGAAACTGCTGCTATCATTCTTATTATTTCTGGTTCTTTGCCACTCCCACATTTCTCTTGTTTTTTTTTTATTCTTTCTTTCTTCTTGTTGTTCGTGATGATGGTGGTGACGATGGTGGTGTTTTTTTTTTTTTTCTATTTATATATTTAGCTTTGCAGGTTTATTCGCAACACTCCTATCTGTTTTTATTGCTTTTTTTTTCACCTCTTTGAAGCTGCGGCTAATGTGAATGCAACGATAATATATGGAGGAGAATGGCAAACAACACAAAAATACATACATACGCACATTCACGAATACACACATATACACATGTAAAAAAATGTGTGTGTGTGTGTGTTCTTATATCCATATCTTTATGTGCAGAGAGCAAATAAAGTAGGAACGGGTACAAAAGGAAAAGAGAAAAAAAAATAAGAAGTGAAATTCGCTTAATGTTGAACTTCTCTTTTTTACTGTTTCACACCATGTCAGTCAGAATGAATTTCACTCCTTTTTTTCGTTATTTGATTATGTTAGTAAAGAAAGAAAGTAATTATTACGCGCATAATATCACTGTTTCTCGCTCTGTGTCTGTGTGTGTGTGTTTGCTGTTGTGTGTCTTTGTTTTTCATTTTTTTTTTCTTCTCTTCTTTCTTTTTTGTATTTATTTCTTTCTCTTTATAGAAATCTTTATTGCCAAAACAAACTGGCAACAGCAGCACTAGCAAGAACAAGAGCAAGAACAAGAACGCCAACTACAGCTACAACTACTGAAGCAGCCTAGTTATCACCTCTATCAGTGTTCTGGAAGATAAATATTTAAGGGGTAACTAAAGAGAAGGTATTTTTGTTTTTTTCTGACGTGGTTGTGATCTTGTTCTTATTCCTATTATTATTGTTTTCTGTTTTGCTGTTTGTAGAATACTGGAGAAAACAATAATAACGAAAAGCAAGAACGTGTGAGGCAAAAAAAAAAAAAGAAAAAACAGTGGATCAAAAAGAAAAAAAAAAAGAAAAAAGAAAAAAAGTGGACGACGCAGAGCCCACTCTACTATTACACCCCGCTCTCACATCAAAAACAAAAACAAAAAAAAAACGTAGTGGTAAAGAAAGGTTCCCTGGTGGTGGGATTCTAAAAAAAGGAAGAAAAAATAAATAAATAATAATAAAGCCCTCTGGGTGAAATCTCGCAAAAGGAACTAACGGTGTTAGGAACACTCTTTCATGTCTGGGCGGAATCCCACTCCGGAAGGCTCCGCTGAAGAGCGTGTGTGGTCGGAGAACTCCCCCGTGCAGGCGGCGGGGAATCAAGCGGCGTGTGTGGACCCGGTGGCCCCCCCGGCGGCGGAGGAGGAACTCGCCGCGGAGGCGATCATCCGCGTGGACGGGCCGTGCGAGAACCTCCCGCAGCTGCGGCCGCACGAACTGAAGATCATTGGCCGCTGCGTGACGTTTCAGGGGGAGACCATTGTGGATGGAGAACGGGTGCTGCTGTACTACGAGGGATTGGTGGGAATGATAACGAAGGATACCGTGATGTTATTGCATGTGAATCGTTTTACAAACGAGGATTTTCAAAAGTATCAGGAAAAATTGCTTAAAGCAGCACAGGAACAAACACGGCGTAGAAGAAATCAAGAAGAAAACGCCGATTATAATCAAGGAAATGGAGGTCAAAATACACAAGAATCTCAAGGTGGTGAAGATGCTTTGGAAGCTGGTGAAAATACTAGTGGTAGCTCTAACGATAACGAAATGAGCGGTATTAGCTGTTTTCTTCCAGGGGGACAAGAATCACGAGAAGTAAGGGAAGAAACTTCAGCTGTTGATGTTTATTCGCAACGCCATGGTCGTCAATTAGGATCTGGAACTCTTGGTCCTGTACCATTTATGACTTTCTCACGTCGTCGTATTCATGGTGTGGTGTTTGGACGGGATCCACACAGCAGTTTTTATTCCCTTTTTCGTGATCCTTCAAAGCGACATTTTGATATGCAGTGTCTACGCATGTTCGTTAGACGTTACTTGGTACATAGTTCTCAGGGAAACAATCCACGCAGTATAAATCTTCGTCCTTTTGTTGCTTGGAGGTGTAACTGTAAAGATATCGATAATGAACTCCTTCTTGATGTTGCTAAGGAAGAATTGGCCCACCTTGTAAAAACCGAACGAGAAATAGTAAAGTATGCTGAAAGAGCGGCAAATAACAGACGAAGTATTCTACAATTTTATCAGCCCCCACCAGGATTATTTAGTGGTACAGGCATTCTATTTCTTACACGAATACCCGTTCAAACCTTTTGTCTCGCTATAATAGAATTGCTTGTAACACTTATGTTACTTGGATTTTCAGCTTATTCTTTTGTGGCGGCACCTAATGGTATTGTAGATGGTTACATTAGAGATTACACATTTCCTGTAACATTTGCTGGTATAGCTAGCCTTTTTGCGAGTGGATTGACAGCATTTCATTCCCTCAAAATGCGTCTACCGCTAACCGTTACTTTATACGGTACTTTGCGAATTGTGACAGCGACAATTGGTATTGGGCTCAATATGATGGTGTTGATTTTAGTTGGAGGGGCAGTCTCCTTTACACATATACGTAGTTACCTGAACAGAATAGCAGTTATATCAAGTGAATTATGCGTTTACTACGCACAGCATAACTGCTCTGGTTTTGGTGAAGTGTGTGACCCAGCGAATACGGCTCCTTTGTGTATGTGGGATACTTGCCCTATATTGCGGGAAAACACCTGTACTCAACCGTTATCCGCTAGTTTTACACGTGTTTTCATTCCTATTGTAGTGCTTTCTATGGTTTTAGTCGTATTGTTTTTGATTGATCACTTTATGCATTTTCGGTTGGTGCAAATTTCAAGACAGTTGTTGGCGCAGTTGTAGATGGGTGGGATAGGGGTACCTAGTATATGTATGTACATACATATTTATATATACATAGTTTAAACTAAA